CACGCTATAATAAAAACGGGGAAAATGATAGGAGTAAAAATTTACATATTACACACATTCTTTTGAATACAGGTAATAACTCATATTCTATTTCAAGGAAATCTAAAAGCTCGCTGCATGTTTTTAACAAGATTCTTAATAGGAATTAACGTAGTAACTCGAAATAGATTGCAAGGTAAGGGCGCCGAAACTGTCAAACACTGAATACCGAAACTTCCAAGACAGGAAAATCGTCAAAACCCGTTGAATTATTTTTAACAGATAGTACTTACACATATTCAGCTGGCGGACGAAGCTTGCAAAGTTGTTGTGTTTAAAATACTTAGGAAGTATCTCGCGTGCAAACGTGGCTTGATCGTGCACCAGAAATCCGCTCCCATTCTACAGGGGAAAAAAAGTCGAAAGGTCGAAATCGTCCTTTCGAGCTTCAATTATTGAAGAAAAAGGATTTAATGTACTCATTTCAAAAACATCGGGTAGATATCTGTAGTAAATAAGCCAAGTAATTTGTCGCGAAGCAAACGTAGTAAAGGAAAGATTATTCACCTTGTTCCACGAAATGTGCTCCTCATATTGTGGATCTTCAACCAACTTCCACAATTTCACCAAAAAAGCCGGGACATTGGATGGAATACCACTCGAATCTCCGTCTCCAGTCTTCATCGGCATTTCTTTTCAAAAATCACACCAGACAATAAAGCTTTCTCGCAGGTATACGTGCTGAAAAACAAGCGTAACTTATCAGGCAGTTTGCTGATCAGCCATATTCGTCAATCCCCCGCGCGCAGGCTTTATATCCCCTGAGACGTCCTAGAACGCCGGGGTCTGGGACGGATCGCAGAGAGCATCTTTGACCTCGGGGAAGTAAACAATTTTTTCACGACTTCGTGGTGCACGTGAATCGTTAATTGATGTTCTATATTTAGTAATTCAAATCTACTTGTCTAAATCGGCCAAGAGGTGTTTTTAAAACTACAGTGCTTGAGTCGTCAGGTGGTGACCTAGGCGGGCGCCTTGGTTGACGTCACTGGGGCTGGTTGCCATGATAACGGAGGGGCAAATAATCAAAAGGTCTGGTTCGAGAACGTTCTACACGGTCCTCGGCCCACGTTTCTCCGTCACTGAGGGTTCCAGAGAATGTATCTGAATCTACATATTTAGCATAAATTTGCAAAGAATTTGCTGGCGTTTAAAAGATTCAAAGTCATAGAAATATCTTGATTTTCCAGAAGCTTGAGGGAAAAAAATTCTATTCCAGAAGGTGCAAGAACAAAAATGTCCCTTCCTCGCTGCTACCGTTTTTCTCTGGTCTGAGTCGTGCACAATTCTTCTTTTCAATTCTGTCACCAGAGAAATTCCTTGTGATCATGTCAATGTATTGAATATTGTCACTTAAGTGGAAGGAAGCTTAGCAAATAAATTAAAATAATCCTCGCTCTTGTTAAAAGTTACTAGCGTTCGCATTCTCAACGAATAAAAAGAAAAAACCCAATAAATCGGGTATAACTCCGGTAAGTTTATTCTGGAAAATGTTTTCTTCTACGATAAAAATCAAGCATCAATATAGAAAGGGGTTTTATCACGGTATTATGTAAATTTTCACTATTCTTTCCGGAAGTGAAATAAACACGGCGATATAATGGCTTACTTAGTGAGTCACGCAAGCCGAAAGTTCCAGAACATTCACTGCCCATCGTAACGCGTGTTGTTCTTATCAGAACGTTCTAGAACGTATTCTGTCGGTCGAACTCTTCCGAAAACTACGTCATGCAGCTGACGAGGAACAGCGTGAAAGGGTTAATTGGTAAGCAGTGTTATTGTTGAAAGAAAAACATCTCTTACAATGGAAAAATATTTACAAAGTGTTTCGACTCAAACGATATGAATTTGTACTGAAAGTAAAGTGATTTTCAACACAATAAAAAAAAGTATTTCGTCATATTTGTCGATGTGTATGTGTTAATACTCTCTGGAAATTAAAAAAAGCGAAATGGGAAATCGTTGATAGAATACTGAGAGTAGAAAACTAACAGTTTGTAACGGATTCTGTTTGCGTAGAAACGCCTCTCTACCAGGGAAGTCAGGCGATTTGACTTGCTCGATCGAGGAAAACAAAAGTTAGGTAGATATAGCCGAAATCTAGACTTTTACTGAAGCATTTTGTTGAAAAACTTCAATTTAAAGCGTTTTCCTTCTTAAATCAAATTGCTACAGGTGAAAAATTCATGAATGACAACTACGTTGCGCTCGAATGCATGTCTAGGTAAACATCTTTCACGCAAAATTTCCAGACCTTTTTGTTGTAAAATCTGTTATTTTATTAGTCATAGTATAATTTTAAAAGGCTTTAAAAATAACTCAGTGCGATAGGGTCAAAAATATTCTTAGTGAAACTGTACCTGTTGCGAGAAGTTTCTGTGTTAACCTATGTTTAGGGAAGGCACGTATGTTTGGATACAAATACGTCACAATGTCACTATCCTGATATTTTAAAACTCTTCGAGATTTTGCGAACTATTTCTGATTTTGCATAGTATTAGTAGGAACTCCGAGCCGGCATTCGACAGAATGTACACGCGGAGAGACTGATTTGCAAGAATTTGCAATGCGCGAGTCGCCCGGAGAACGTGAGAGGTAGGAATCTCAAAGGCCATACGGTATGTGGACTTACGTGTACATGATCTTGAAATCGAACCCTGGGATAAGGGGAATTTTTTTACTCATATTAGCACGATTTGTCATCAGAGGTGTGGTATCACGTAGACAATGTTATTTTAAGGAGGGAGATGTATGCAAACATGATTTATTGGCGACTTCAAAACAAACTTCTCCTGTGATATTTGCATCAGTAACGCTGATCTGCAACAAGCAAACATGACTACCCATGGGTTACAGGAAGGAGGGGGAAATGGTTTTTCAGGTATCGGTTAAAACTTTGTTAACAATTAAATTTACTTAAAAATTGATCCAAATCGTTTTTGACTAGGTCAAAATTCAAATCTTTATAGATTAGCAAAATAATAATTGGACGCTGTATGTAAATTGCAGTGCTACTGTTGGTCAGCTAAACCATTTTAATCTACTGTATCATGACTGGATGGTTATGTTCTCTTTGGAAAAATAAAAATTATTCTTGCTGAATTGAAATTACGAAAGTCTTTTCGGCGAGGGAGCGTAAAATCAGTCATTTTTCTCACCATTATTTCACGGGACTACAGGAAAGCCTTGAATTGTGGGGTCACTTACACAGGAACATTAGCTCAAGTTAACAAGAAAATGATTTTAACATCTGTCGAAGTTTAGCTCTCTGGTGACACAGGTCTCTTACTGGCTTCAACTCCACAAGAACCGAAGGAAGGGTGAAATCACTGCTTCTGGTACACTCCTTTCAGGAACTTTAGGTGAGTCTCAATTTTTTATTCGAGAGAGTCAGTTGACGGCTCTTACTGAACGAACGTACAAAATACTTGTATAAATTTGATAGAATCTTGACTTCAGAAAGTTTGACACCAAACCACAGCCTCTAAGCTAACTTGAAATAAGGAATACATACCTGTTTCATTGTAAAGTGAGAACTACCCGGAAAAATTTTGTTTTGAAATTCGTGTATTTTAACCATGTGGTCTTAACAGTGAACAGCCTGCACCCCTCTGGTTGTTTCGTTAGAGTCGACCAGATCGTTGTTCATAATAATAATAATAAATATCATAATAATAAAACTACTTATATAGCGCTTATCCAGTCCTGTTCTAAGCGCTTTACAAAAATATTAAAATATCACACGTTAAAATAATATTAAAAGTAAGTCCTAAGTTAACTGACGTCTAAGATATAGGCGTTTGACATGGATAAGAAAAGAGATCATACATTAAAGTAATTTTTAAAAAGATGAGTCTTAAGTTTACGTTTAAAAATATTTAAATTGTCACAAGAACGAATGTCATCAGGTAGTTTATTCCACATGTTCATATTTAAAAGGGTTATCCTGGTCTTAAAATACTGGATAAGTTTGATTTTGAGGAGCGATAATTTGCTCTGAATAATTCATGCATGCACAACGAGTAAGGTGCATCAAAGGATCTTTCATTTACCTTTCTCCTTAAGCTAAAACTTAAGCTTCGACTTAAAGTTTTTTTTTCAATTAAGACTGTCGAGTAAAAAAAATGACGGTTGTGTGAGTTAATTTTTTTTAATCCGCTTTGGAATACTCTTTATTATGGGTTTCTTCGTAGCTCAAATCTAAGGTGTGTCGCGAACTATATTTAGATAGGTTTGAGTGTTTATGAAGGTCTTGCTAGATATAATTTTACGTTTATCAGATTTTGAATTGTCGTAGTTTCCGCACAATGTAATTGCGCGACAGATTCTGGAAAAAATTTCTCTTTTTCTCATATATGTCTTTGTTTCCTTGTGCGGGAGTCACCGTTATCGTCTCAGTGAGCAAGTTGTGCTCTCTTCGATGAGATCTTTAAACTGTCTATACTGTTAGCGAGTGAGCACATACGTTTGCCGGCAAAAATTACTGTAAGTCCGATTGAGGTCCGAAAGTGCAACAGCTGCTTTTAATTTTGTGAAAGAATGTCCTAAACTGAACGATTTTAAATGAGACATTAGGAAATCTCTTTAGCAAGATCGGAATTACACTGAACACGTTGCACGAAGCGACCAAAATAAAGTCAACTGTATTCTGCAAGTTTAGCAGAACGTTTTCAAATTTTCTTTGTCGATTTTGCTTTGATGGAGCATTCGATTATTGTATCCGGAGTTTTTTTGTTACCTATGTGGCTGTGTGTGTATAAGTGTCTCATTTATTCAGACAACTGATCAGCCTTTAACTGTCTCTCTCCTAGTAATGACCACTTAAGCACTTGAAAGCGTTCGCTACGAGCTGCCTCAAAGCATGCACCGTGAGATGTTGGTAACAGATCAGTCTTAAGAGGGTCCGGGCTACGAATGGTCAAAATTCAGCGAGGCCTTACTGGGAAGAACGACAGGTTTGTGAGACTGCGGTATGTTTGGATGCTTTACACGATTTTGCTCTGGTATATGAGTTCCGTGCGGCTAGTATATGTAGGCAATTCTTTCTCCTGTCGATCGGAATTTTTAGTATACTTTTCTAACCGGAAAATTTTCTGCATTAACGCTCCCAAGTCGCATAAATGATACTTACCCAGCGAGTATTGTGACTTCTGTCCCCTCGACCGTACTAGAACAATCTTTGTCTTGTTCAGCCTACACGTTGACTGCGGCAGCCGGCCATACACGCTATAACAACAATATGACGCAGACGCAGTAATGCTCCCGGGGCTAATTGGTGCTATTCATTTGTAAAATGAAGGGGTTTTTTAATCCACCTTATCAAACATTTGATAACACATAGGGTATTTTCAAGGTGATGAATAAATTGCGTGCAGTGAAAAAATAAAATTGTAGGTAAATAGTAAAGTTAGCTTTTACAGCTTTGGTAAAACATTAAAACTTGAGGTCTCTGCACTAATATAAACAGAACACGAGGGACACTTCAAAATTCATCGAGTTAAATAAGAAGACTCATTTTAAAGAACAACACCATACAATAATTAGCGTGAGTCCTGATAACTGCATAAAAGATTCACGGTCTAGTTTGTATCATTTTTCCGTGAGTTACTAAACTATTTCCTTTTGTGATAATTGCAAACAATCAGGATTTCTGAAGCTGCCGCCTAAAAATTCAAACTGAACCTTCAGACAAACCTGCTTTTACGATGTACTCACTATTTAACAAAAAGCTCATTTCCCAAATCTATTTTATATAAATCTATGTGGACCACTCATGCAGTTCAAGGGAAGATTTTTTGGGATCTTAAACTCAAGGAAAACGGGTTTTACGCAGCAGAATTGTGGAATGAAGCAAATGACCTTAGCGAGGTTATAAATATCGTAAGATTGACTGATTGATTGTTTGATTGTCGATAAAACGGATCAGTTCCGGGTAAAAAAGGCAATAAATATATTTGAAAATTAACTTTGGATGAGCTGAGTAAACGTCTTTGAAACTCACTTCTAAGAGCACTATTTTCAAACAATTCGGCTCAGAATCCATCACGGGTGTATAAATTTCATTATAACACTAAAACGGTAGAAAAGCAATGCCACGCGAAGATACCAGTTGAATTCTTAACAGCTTTTGCTGAAATATTTTCCATAATAGTTTTTCGTACAGCATTTGGGAAGTTACTGTAGCTCAAACAAGAGAGAACGAAGAAAGAACTCGAAATCTTCCGAAGAACATTTTACGAAGGCCTCAACCTGCCCTCTTGTGATGAGTCACAACACAAATACAAACTTCCAAAGTCGCTATGAAGAAGTTAGTAGTGAGAAATTTTATCAAAGTTTTTACACAGGAGTTTCAATAAAAGCCAGGTAAGGCGGTCTACCACCGCCTGTAAGACCTATTACCGCCATCTGTTTACTACTCGGTATGCGAGAAGGCTCCGGTGTTTGCATTTCGCCTTAAGGCCCCTTTCTGGGCACAGCTCCCCCGCTACACTATCGGCAAACGCTAACAGAAAAAGTTATTGAAACCCCTGTTTTACTATAAAACAGTCAGTGGAAAGAAGGTTAGATTCTCAGAAAAAAAAAAATGCCCTGTAAATATAGCTGCTGAAGAATATTTTACATACATACGTCAAATTATTCATCAACTCAAATAATTTGAGTATAGCTTAGGTTATCACAATTTTTTGACGGTACATGCACGCTGCTTGATTGTTAGAGATAAAAGAACCTTAGCCAAGGTATGAAGCTTAGAGATGAGTAGATAAAACAATGATGATGATAGAAAAACGTCATACAATATATGTGAAGGACTCACGGGTGATATCGTGCAGAGAAAGACTTGTTATAATACATGTTTCATATCTGTTTTCTTTTTTCTATTTCATTCCGCTTTAGCATAAAAACTGACATCTAGAAGAAACTTGGTTGTAGAACATACCTGAGAATGATAATCTTTGTCACTGTTTGTTAACTGAAGTTTCATGTGAAATAAGCTGGTGATGAGTTCCTGGAAGAGGGAGTCTTGAGGAGGTGAGAAAATCTTTATTTTAGTTGGCTTTTAAATCGTTACTTAACACTCAGATGAAAATCATTTCTTAAGATTGTGTTACATTGTTTGCATTGCACCAGTTTTAGTGCATGCTTACTTTTTCAGCAACTTCTTTAAGTTTGTATTCCATCCATTGCTGTGTAACACATCAGTTTTGTCATACAACTTAGCACAAGAAGCTTTACATTATTATTTAGGGTAGGCGACTGAGTAAAAAAATGGATTTAATTTTGTTCTGTGGAAAAAAAAAACTAAAATTCTTTTACTTTTAGTGCAATGAAATTTATAAATAATTTCACTGCAACTGCAAATCAGTTCTTGGCTGTTGCTCTCTTGAAAAAGTTAGTGATAAAATGAAAGCAACAACTGGGGAATCTCTGGTCAACTTGTCGTGATAATTTCCTTAAAAAAAACATCCTACTATGCCAGTGGTGCAAATCTTCCTTTTTCCTGCTAACACTGACTTGAAATTCTAATTCCTTCTTACGATGATCCAGGAGTGCAGACAGGACTTTTCAAAGGGGAGGGGGGTCCACACTGTGTCAAACAGAGGGTAATTATCTGTTTTCGCCATCTGAATAATACTGTTTGCTCAAACAAGGCTCACAAAGGAGGGGGGGGGGGGGGGGGGGGGGGGGGGGGGGTCACGGGCACCTCCCCTGCTACGCTCTTGAGGTCTGATACGTAATTCTCCTTTTGAGCTGTTATGTATTGCAGTGTGAATCAGTTAAAAGAGTTAGAATTATATCTAGTAAACAGCTTTTTAATGAAAAGTTGTCTATTCTCATCACTTTCTTAGAAGATATTGTATTGAAATTACGAGGAGAAGCTACATCTCAATCACGTAAGGGGTTCAAGGTTTAACGAAAGCCTATCTCCCTCCCAGGTCTCACCTATTCAGTTTTGAGTTCTGTTCGTCTCATCAGATATGGTAAGATCTACTGCTGAGTTAAAACAAAACATGAAGGAAGGAGTTAACAGCTACTTTTAAGTGCTCCACTAACACTGAAATATAAGGTGGCTCTTAGCTCGCATCTGTTTAATTTGTTGATTAGTGATTATAGAGCGTTTCTCTTACGTCAACACTGATCAAGAATTATATTAATAGTTTAACTTACTCGGTTAAGCGTGACTGCTAAAGGCTATACCCAAGTCATAAACTCTACAGAGTTAAAGAAGAAAAATTCCTTGATTGTGGAGAGGAAACTAGGTACTAGCGTTTTTTCACTCGAGGTTAGACTGAGCACCAATGTTATTTTTGCCGCGAAAATTTCCATTGGGAAAACAAAATGGAGAATGAAACGCAACGATCTTTGTCTAAGAGACTTGGAATAACAACTTTAGATGTCTTGAAGAAAGCAGCTGAGCTGGAGCGATTGATGAATGTTCGTGGTTGCTCTATGAATTTAACAAGTGTTTCTAAATCTGTAATCTGTCTCGAGATCGCAGCGAATAATTCACAAGTTCCGATGAATAGGGTACTGTAGACATTACATTTTTTCTTATTCATCTGCCACGAAAAACACATGACAGTCACTTGCAACGAAGTGCAACTCATTTTTTCCCCTTCTATCAGTTTATGTACGGCTGTATTGATACGTAGTTTATCTCATTGCCTTGTCTCATAATTTTTGTGGAAAGCCTCTTACATAAATTTTTGTCGATCTACAAAACTGTTAATTGTACAACATAAAACTTTAAACTGGTCAAAGATGATGTTTGACTGTGTTCAAATCCGATTCTCCTGTCCGGCTGAGGGGGTTAGCTGGGGAAAAAAGAGATGAGTTGTTTGTACTGTTTGTGGTAAAACTTGATTAGGGAATGTAAAGGACATGTGTACTCTGAGAAGGTGATACAGAAAAATGTGACTGTTTACTCTCAATGTATTTTGGAAACGTATACATGCTATTAACTGATACACATCTGAGTAAGATTTCTGCATAGCACCATACTATTTTATAACAAAGCCATAGTCCCAAAGGTAATCTGTTGTCTTTGCCATCATTTTATTGATCCAAGAACTGTAGGCATAATGAGGTATGAAGCTGTGCATATATCTTACTCTAGGCATGAATTATCAAAACTGAGGTCTGAGTTATCTGCCGAAGCCAAAGGAAAAGGCAGATAACAGACACAAGGGTTGATTTTTCATATGATTTTTCATCATGGGAAAAAAAATTCAGTGATTGTTTCATTTTACATCTTTAATCATGCAAAATATTACACTCCTCTCTAACAAGGGCCTAGAATTTAGGCAGACTTTGAACTTGGAATGATAAATGCAATATCTGCAACAGATGTTGGGTCATGTTCATGTCAACTTCACATGCAGTTGTATATCAATTAAATGCTCTCATGACCAATCAGATTTTTCATGGTAAATCATATGTACCATAATTCAGCTTGTCATAGCCATTATTACAGGACAGGTAGTATGTGTGCTATGATTGGATATTTCAGCAAGCTGTATTTCACTGCACTTCCCTCCTAATTCAAAGGTCTGGTTGCATTGATACAACTGTATCTTCCTCCTTTATTAGAACCTAGAAATATGATAAATATCTAACTAGCTTCATTTTTCCAGTCCATATTGTATGTAATGGAACCTTGTTTTTCTTCTATGATCTGAGGCCTGTATGCTTTTCTCTTGGGTCGTATATGTATATGCCAGCGGAAAAACTTAGTTCATAACAAACAGTATGGACCTTGAACCAATGTTTAGTAACAGGTATGTAGGTAGATAATGTGAAAATCTCAACAATTTTTCAGTATCAGCTAAGTGCACTGTCTCACCCTTTTTATTTTTGTTATAGAATGTTGCAATTCAGCTTTCTGGAATGACTAAGAAAGCTTATATCCATGCCTTTAAAACAATTGAGTGTCTGTTGGGAAAACAAAAGGAGTTTACTATTAAAGATCTTGCTGTACAATTTGGTTGTATGGAGGCTTCAGACCTGGCACAGCAAATACACCAAAGGTGCATTATAATACGTAGCCCTTTACTCCCATCATCAGTTTGTATACTCTCCATACTGTTTTTTCTACATTTCTTATGGTACTTTCAAGTATTATTTCTCTTACAATCGAGAGCCTCTTGAATCTATGATCATTTCTGTTATTCTCATGACCTGAATGTTATTTTCCCCTATTTTACCCTTGATATTGCAAATTGACACCTGTGAGAGGAAAATGTCTGTCTTTTGGGGACAAGGTTGTAAAAGGTTCAGATCTCTTTAGTGAGGTCATAATGTTTTATACAAAATGTTAAGTTAAGGTTATATTTTATTATAAATTCTTCTTTTCTTTGGAGACAAGAAATTGGATTGTATTGCTAATCTGATGTCACCTCCTTGTCACCCTCAAAATTTTGCTGGCCTCTTGAAGTTTAAAATGACATAAATCCTGTATTGTTAGCATTCAAGTTTACCTAAGAAATATTGATTTGCTCATTAACCCCTTTAACCCCCATGGGCAGAATTTCTCCTTACAATATCAATACAATATTAAGCAGACAAGTGTTGAGAATAGAGAAAAATATAAATAAGGGTATTATTAGTTGACCTTATACCTAATTCTTAGGACCAATGTCATAAGAATTGTATAGCAGACAGTAAGGAGAATTACTAAATGAATGAAATCTTGGAAATTTAAGGATAAAAAAGGGTAGGAAGGTAATGGAAACTAAAGAGAGAGAGGGAGTAAGGGGAGACAGATAGAGAAGTGAGGGGATGGGTAGTTGGGAGATACAGTTTAGAGGGGAGGAGAAGGGAGATGATGGATAGCAGATGAAGAAATAGTAGAGAGGAGATGGGTGGGTGGGAGATACAGTTTAGGGGGAAGGGAAGGGAGATGATGGATAGGGGATAATGAAAAAGAACAGAATTAGGAAAAGGGAGGTTAGGGTGAAAAGGTGAGAATGAAACAAATAGAGGGTTCCCAGCTTTTCCAAAACCATTCTTGATTGTTATGGGTTACATGTATTCTCTCAATTACTTTCTTTACCTAACTGTACAATTTTTTCATGATTCTTTCATAATATCTGGGGTAGTTCATTGTCAGCTCAGTTTATTTTGTAACGTTTCTTTGCTACCCTTGTGTTCCATTACCTCCCAAGCTTCTATTGTAATTGCAATTATTGTTTTTGTATATAAAAGGCCAAGGTGGAATTGAACCTGCAATTCTCTTATACCTAGTCTTACATTATCTTAGGTATAAACAGGAGTTTGTAAAAGAAGTAGAAGATATGAGTCACCCAATATTTAATGCAACTGCACTTTATACAGCTTGCAGGTATGTTTCAAAACAGTTCGTTGTTGTTGTTTTTTTTTGTCAGCTAAATATGTAATTCAAATCATAACTCTAATGACTCTTGCCTTATATTTTTTAAGGTATAAGAAAATCAAAATAGACAAGACAAAGTTATTGAGTGTTCTGGGGACCTGCAAAAGGTCAACATTTGACAGTTTGTTCAAGAAGATGGAGAAAATACCAGACATGCTTGAAGCCAGTGAGTAACAGTACAGTTTATAATCAAGTGACAATAGAGTGACATGCACATAAGTGAGTAGACTAATTCTCACTCACGCATGCTGGTCTAAATCACCCATGCACAAATAAATTGAGAGCCTGCTTAATTGAGACTGGTAATTGAAGAATTTGCTAACAAGTGAAGGTAATTCTTTAACTTCCATGAGTGACTAAGACAGAATTTTTTCCCCACAAAATCAATACATGGTCAAGTGGAAAAGTGATGAAAATAAAGAAAAACATCAATAAGGAGATGGTTAGTTGTCAACACCATATTTTCCAAACTAATAAATTCTCCAAACAAATAAATTTTTCAACTTTCTTCATTTGACAACCATTTTTCTTACTCTCCACATTTGGAGTTCTTTACCCATTACATCCTAACATTAGTATGCTTATTCTTCACACTGTACTGAAAACATTTCTAAGGGTGCAAACAAAGAGAATCTGTTTAATAATCAAGAGCTTTTTGTTGTTGATGATCATTTCTCATGACAATAATGTGTGATTCAGGGGTGAAATTGTACAGAGAGATTAGATGCTCATCAGTCTCAGTGGGCAAAGGGTTGATTTGCCTATCCTGTTGTTATCTAATCTAGGAGAGGGGTGCAACTGATTCCTCTACTTGATTTTTACACCAAGAAGGGTTTAATTTTGTTTTTCTGAAGTGCCTGCCACATCTTTCCTACTATCCACCTCCCCTCCAACCCATTGTAGCCTCCCCCCTCACCTCAAAGGTTGGATCTATTACTTGGAAAGTTATTTCTTTTAACTTCTAGTCCATGGCTCAAAGCATTGTTTTTGAAGCTGCAGATCTGTACTAAAGTGGCTTGGTTTTGTAGGTGTAGACCACTTATAGTACATAATTTCTTAATAGCACATGGACCTTCTGTCTTTCCAGGTTCTTTCACCTTCCACCCCAGTAGGGAACCAGCTTCTTCTTTCTCAAATAAGTACCATTGCTGAACCAAACTTTAGGCTTGTGACAGTTAAAGAAATATTAAAAAACTAAAAAAGCTCTTGTTCTTAGCTAAACTATCATAGTCAGTGCCATAGGAAAATGTATAGAGACCATTATAGAGAATTTTCATGCTGGTGTTGCAGTGTGTAGGGTGAAAGATCTTGGTATAGTTGTAAAGTTCTTTGAAGATCATCAAAGATTAATGCAAGATAGCCTTTTCAGTTTTTGATGAGAGTATTAAAAAATTATTACAGATCTATTTTTATTTAAAATGATGGCTTCCTTTAAGAAGAAATATGAAAATCTGTCTTCTGGTTCCTGCTATGACTGTTTGGATGTTGTTCTACTACTATCTTATCTAATGGGTAAATCATTTTTAAGATTTGTAAGAAATTGCAAAACAGATATAGAATTTCGTAAGGGACTTTGTAAACAATAGGGGTGTACAACCTGTGACCCTGTAAGTGAATAAAAAAGGGAATAGACTGAAATTTTTTGTATTTATCTCTCATAATTTTTTGCTCTTGATCTAGCTGAGAGTAAGAGGAAGACTTCCAAAAGAGGGTATGGACTTCTGGACAGAGTGACTGAAATAGTTGAAGGTTAGTGTAATCTCTTAGTTCATGATCATAATCCAAAGATTCAAATGTGTGATATGTATACATCTGGAATTATCATTTATGTCCTTATAAAGCTTCAAAACACCAAAAGAAAAACACAGGTTAAAAAGAGATGTTGTATATATGGTTTTACTGCTTAGTATTTCTTTACTCTTAGAAAAATTTATAATAAACTAGTGAATTAAAAAAGTAAAAGATGATGAAGTAGATATGGGGTGGGGCTAAAGCAGAGTGGAGAGCAAATTATGCACGTAAAATTGCAGTGAAAAATAAATAATACAATAGTTTATTTGAGTACTACTAATTTGCGAATCGAGCACAAATATCCTGCGATATTTACACGGTTATTCGGATTGTTTGTTATTTTGTTCTGTAAAAGACCTGTTTGACAGGTTGGCAACGCCTGCGTGAGTTGTTTCAAAGGAGAAAAAAAAAGAAATCCCTATAAAACAAGGCAGTTAAATAGTAAATAACTTTTGAGACACTTTTGGTGCGTGGCATTGCTGAGTATTATTACTAATTATTACTCTTTGTTTGTGTTCTGACTCGCCCTGCGGGCGGGTCAAAATACTGCACAGCTCGTAAAAATACTCGGCGATACTGTACCAAACTGGGGTCTAATAACATTAGTGTATTTTGTTTCGTTCATATGGGACGTTCTTTTCCGTAGATCAATGTCGCTCATCCAAAATATCAAAGGAGGACGATGGAGATACTGACTCTGATGATAAAGAGTATGAAGAGTGGAAAAGACGAATACTTGAATCTGCAGCCAAGGCCATGCAGTCCCGAGACAAGAAAAATACAGACAAGGATAATTCTTAGTCAGGAGCCCATTCAGTAATGGGCTTCCTGCTCTTAGTGTTGTGTATTTTGCTGACCGTGATGTCCTAACAGAATGTATAAAGTATAATAGCATTATGTGATCATTAAAATTTATCGATTATCTGCGAAAGAATCCTTAAGAGTTAAAAAACATGCCTCCTGTGTTTCTCGGCCGATGTACAATCATTCGTATCCACGTGCCTTTTTACGTATTGATTCGGGTAAATTCTATGCTGTACAATTTCCAAATGACTGTCTTTGTTAGCTTAAACTTTTTTGCTGGTCGTGAGAAATTGATCGGTGGGCTAGAATAGTTTTCAGTCCACAGACGTCCTTAGATAACACAGTTTACAGGTTTGAGTAAGAAAAAAGTTAGTCCGAGTTGTTTTCATGCATTCTTTGTTACAAATACAAATTGGATGCAAGTCACTTTGGGGGAATAAAAAGTTAACTTATTCTCGCCTTTTGACCTAAAAAGTTGTCAAAAGCGTTTCACTCTGACTGCCACTGGCAGTCATGACCAAAAGAAAACGAGAAATAGGCTGTTCTAGGCAAAATTGGAGGCTTACGTATTTAACTAATTAGATTTTTCACGAGTGTAAAGTGTGTAGTTGCTTTAGGCAAATTATACGATAATACAATCGATGGTCAGAGTGAAATAGGTGCCTGAAAACACGCGCGAAATAAATCTCTTAGGCCAATTCGAGATTTGGCTTTTTGCTTCCCCGTTAGGGGTTCTTCATTGACTTGTCAAAGGGTAAGCACTTTGTGGATTCCCTTAAGAAAAACTAACCGGAGCCAGGTTTACCAAACCAAACTTCAAATCGCAGTTTATGTAGAACGTCGAAAGTCCGTATAAACAGCATCTGAGTTTTGTCTGCAATTGTTAGCAGACTCGAAAGCCCTTGCTTCCAGACAAACCAACAGAAAAGACAACAAAAAGAAAAATACCAAAACAAAACGAACTAAAAACACAAAACAACACAACCAAATCGTGTTCATTAAGGGGATATTATCGTCTGCTAGACTTCGTTCACTTAAAGTAATGAAATTTTAATTGCAGCATTGGGATAGAGGCCTTACGCTTTATTTGGCTTTCTTTTCGTGTACATTTTAACTGCACTCTAGATCAATTTCTAATTCAATCTTCTCTTCATTTCATGTTTTCCTTGATCCATTCATACAGCTCAGCGATGTTTGTGTATACTCCGTAATACTGGCCACCACAACCCCATCCCCAGCTGGTTGTGCCCACGAGATGCCAGCGGCCGTCTTTCTCGCAGACGAGAGGGCCTGGAATCATAAATTAAAAATGTATCAAACCATAGTTAGTAGAGGGGGTCCCCCCTCTACTAACTATGATCAAACGATTGATAAATGACTGGTGAAATATGTCAGTCATACGATGATGCTTAAAAGAAGTCAAGTCTATCGCAAGTCCTAAATGACCTTCCGCTATCCCGTTCTTTTCTCCTTGAAACAGTCTTTTCGTGTTTCTATGAATTAGATGTCAATGGCAGAATCTTCAAAATAATGTACTAATATGGAGCTAGATAGAGCTAGGTGAAACATATGAACTATCGAGCTTCATTCCGATTTAAGAAAGCAGAATTCTATTGTACCTCCGCTGTCTCCCCGACAGGCGTCAATTCCTCCTCCCAAGTTTCCGGCACAGATCATGTTGGAAGTTATGAGCTCTGGTCTGTAGTTTTTCTTACAGTCTGCTTCTCCGACTAAGGGAACCCTCGCCTCTCTAAGAACAGAAGATGTGCCGCCTCGTCGACGGGTGCGACCCCAACCTGTGATGACGCATTCTGTATCTGTGGAAAAACGGGAGAAAAGAG